AGGAAATGTATGTGTTTTCTATATCTAAACCTTCTTTGCTTTGCCTTGTGATTTGCCTGCTGTTTCAGATCTTCTGTTCTTCTTTACTTTCCAAAAAGCTTTTGTAGAGTAATTTCTAGGCCTACTGAGCCTTCCATGATTTTGCTTACATACTTCTTTTACTTAATGTATTTTATGCTCCACTATTCATATGATGTGATAATTATTTCAGTGTCTGTTGGCTCAACTTCATCTACAAAACCAGCAAGGGCCAAGAGTGCAGGCTCTGACAGAAGTGCTCCAGCCACTCCAGCACGCACACCAGTAAAAGCTACAACACCCAAGAAGACTCCGTCACAGGTTAAGGCTGAGAATGCAGCTAAAAAAGCTGTAGAGAAGAGTAAGTCAACACCAAAGACCAAGACTACTCCAAAGACAACCCCTCTGCATTCTCCGGCAGTTGAAAGCAAACCTCTTCCTGGATCAAAAGAAAAGAGGGTCTCTCCACAAAAGGAAGACAAACCTGCCGAGCTGAATAACAAAGAAACTAAACAGCAGCTGACAGAAGCTGATGCCACAACAGAAGCAAAGCCTGATACTGCAGATGCCAGTCACGAGGCCCCAGTTCAGGCCCCTGTTCAGGCCCCAGTTCAGGCCCCAGTTCAGGCCCCTGTTCAGGCCCCTGTTGAGGAGAAACAGCCTGAAAAGGTTGTTGAACCCACCGTTGAACCCACTGCTGAACCCATTGCTGAACCCATAGTAAATGACACTGATGCTAAATTGCAGCCCACTGAGGAGCTCACACCTGCTAAGCCACAAGAATCAGTTGCTAAAGAGCCTGAAAACAATGAAACTCCAAAAGCAAAGGAAAAGGAAGGTTCTCAGGAGAACTTGGAGAAGGGTGAGGAATCAGAGAAGACCATGATTAAGAAGGCAGCAGATAAGCCTGTCACCGGGTATGCAACAGAGGAGGATTACAAGGCAGCCCTTGCAGAAAAGCGGCGTCAGGCAAGAGAGGCCAAGGAACGAGAGCTTGAAATGGAACGTCAGAGACAGGTATGTTTTGATCAAGAAAAAGAAAAGTCAAGTGTATTTAAAGTATTCCCTTAAAGCATTTTTCAGTATTGAAATCCAATTATTTGCATCCGATATTTTGTTTTTTAACCCAGTGCCAACGGGCAAGATGTGTACGCACGTGCTCTGCCCACTGTGAATACTTGGTTGATTGTTTTTACACATAGATGGCTACACTTATACTAAGTCACCAATGAGCCAGTTATGAGTACTGCCTGTCTCGCCTGTTTACCCTTTTCTTTGATTTACGAAAATATTTTACATTATCTTGTTTTGCTGTTACTAATGTTTATGATAAAAATAACACCATCAATATTCATAGGACTAGTAAAAAATATATTTTTCCCACCACTTCAAATCAGGTAAGGTCACAAGGTCTACTAATTGACTCCTTTGTGGCAAAGCACTAGCAGAGCCATCTATGTGCAGAGACATTTCACAAAAATATAGAAAATGAGCACAGTATTTTCCCCATTTTTTATTCATTTTCCCTGGTGGCATTGGGTTAATTCAACCAATATTGAAAGTGGCAAATCATGTAACTGGAATACAGAAGTTATATTTTTTGTTTCCTGCTAATTTTTCTAGTTACTGTTTGTAAGTGTTTTTATTTTGTTTATTTATTTATTTTTATTTTATCATTATTATTTTTTTTACTTGACAGATTCCCTTTCAATTTTTCTAAGTAATTCCTTCATTAACCCATTGGATCCGGATGCTTCACTGTTGTTGATACATAGCCCAAAATATGGGGATTAGGCTTAATTTGATTGGTCACTCTGACAGGTGTGTGGCTTGTAGGCCGGGTGTACTTGAACATTCGTGTGCAAAAACAAGACTCCATGCCTCCCTTTTGCAATGTTATTTTCTCTTTTTCTGCAGAAACATTTTTAGTTTTTTTGCCATATTCTAATGTCCATATTTGTCATTTGATTTTTTCTTGCACAGACTCCAGACTATCATCTTTTTAGGTACTCCATTACTCAATACAAGAAGAATAACAATAAGTAACTTTTTTTTGTGTGTGTGTAATAAAAAAAAAATCATAATTTTCAATTTTCTGTAATGCAACCTGTTCCACTGGCCATTGCAGCCAAGAATAAGATCCTGGAAATAGCATCTACTCTGGAGCTGGCACTCTTCCTGTCATGGCTCACAGACCATACATTTTGCACTCATTTATCAGTGGAAATAATGCTAAAGCCCCCTCATAAACACCAAATGAGTCTAATCACCCTCCAAGAGGTTTGAGCACTCGAGGTGAGTCTCTTGTCACCCCAGCCTTCAGCTTAAGTGCTCACGGTAGCAAGTTCACGTCACCCAAGCCCATAGCCAGATGTTCCCGTGACGTCCCCACCCCTCAGTTTTTTTCATGACCTGATGGTTATATCATCCGGATTGTAGGGGTTTAGCAAAATTCTATGTTCAATAAGATCAAATAACTGTTATTATGAAAAACTAACTGTCGGATTAGTTGGCAGAGGAAGAGCGTGAAAGAAGAGAGGAGGAGGAGTACCTCAAGATGCTTGAAGAACAGAAGAAGGCTGAAGAGGAGCGCTTGAGAAAGGCAATTGAGGAAGCTGATCGCCAGCGAGAAGAAGAAGCAAAGAAAAAGGAAGAAGAGGAGAAGCAGAAGGAAGAGGTATTATTATTATCATAATTTACTATTATATTTAATGTTATCACTCATGTGTCATTATTTTCATGATTTTTACTATTTGTCTGACTTTCTTATTTTGTTTGTCAGAATGAGCGCATAGAACAACAGAAACGTCTTGAGGCAGAGGAAAAACTTCGCCGTGAGGAAGAAGAGCGTCAGGCCCGCAAGAGCCGTGTTGCAGCCATCATGGCAAGGACTCGCGGCAAGGGAGGATCAAACACTCCTACCAAGGTGGGTCTCTTTTGCCTTTAGCTTGAATGTAACTGCGTGTGGTTGTTTATTTATTCATCATTGTGTTTAATCACTCTAATTTTGTTCTGATTCCTTTCATAGAAAATATTTATGTTGATTAATGAGTCAGATATTATAAAAGACAGCAAATTGGTTGAACTAAATAATTATTGTTATGTTTAATACTATATGGGTTCTTATTGCTGTACCAGAAGGTATATAGATCAAATGAAGTACTTGAGAATTATCTTGAATAGTTTCACACATATTTCATGATGTAGATGTTTTGTTTTTGAGTTCTATTCCACATTGTTTTTTCAGGTTATATTATGGAATAAAGTAGAAGTTAATATTTCGAAGTCCAAGGTAAAAAGAGAAATGTTTATGATGCCAGAAATAAAGTATAATTGTGTATTTTAAAGAAGACATTTCATGTAGCAGGTGCTACATGGTTTCAAGCTTCATGTAATGCTAGGTTTTCTCTATGTTGCTTTGCATTATGAATTTTAAAATACCAAGAGCGTATTTGTGCCAAGGAATCTGCATTGATTCAGAATGGGAAAATGCAAAATGTATCGCTGTAACTAATGTTGGCTTTGTGGGTAAAAATATCTGCCTATGGAAGTCTTGAAATATTTTTTTCCTGTCATAAGGAATATGATATTGCTAGCAATTATTTTTTGGTAGAATTGTGTGGTATATCCAGCTACATATGCAGTCCACTTGTGGTTTTGTTTTATTAATTTTGTTTACACGTTGATGGCTCAAGAAGTGAGTCAACATCTCAACCTACCTGATCTCACCTGTTTACCCTTTTCCTTGAATTATCATGAAGAAAAGTTATCATTTTTCTTACTATTAATATTATTAGTAATGTCATAATCAAAGGTTCAGGTAGACAGGTGAGGTCTGCCTTTGTAGTTGACTCCTTTGTGACCAAGTGCTTGTGAAGCCGTCTGTGTGTAAAGAAAAAGAATCGATTAAAACAAAACATCAGTGAAGACTGCATGTGCTCCTGCCAATGGGTTATTGTCTCTCTGGTCCCATCTTTTTTCTCACAAAGGATAGATTTTCACTGAATTACACTATTGCAGGACTTTTACAGTATGTGCTCTGTTAAGGTTGTTTAACATTGTTTAATGGAGATATTGGTAGATTTGAGTTTTTCCTTTACTTTGTGGGAATATAACTTGATATAAAAGCATATTGAGAATAGTTCAAGTGTGCAAATAGAATATAATTCAGTTAGATCATTTTTGCTTTTAGTATTAAATAGGGTGAATATTATTGAACAGTCAGTTGACATCCATACTGAGTGGGTGTATAGTCTGTTCACTTTGTTATGTATAATAAAATGTACCATTCTTTTCTAAATTATGTTTTAGCCTTACCTATTTTTATTTCTGTCATTTAATGGTGTGTATAGACTCTAAAACTGATTTTATCTATTTTATTCTAGGCTGAAGCCAAGACTCCATCTGATGAATCCAAGGCCTTCAATGAGAGTGACATGAGCAGCAGCATGACAGACTCCATGATCAATGCTCTAGAAAGCGCCAGCCAGGCTCAAAGTGATGCATCATCACAGCCTGCTCAGCCCTCAAGTGATGCCTCATCCAGACCATCACAGCCTGATGCAGTCTCTGAGAATGCTGTAGTAGCTGGTGTTGAAACTGATTCTAAGACACCCGCTGTCAAGTCAGCAACACCTCCCCGCGATGTGACTTCAGCTTCCATGGGTGTTGAATTGACGCATTCTAATATTGAGGTTACCCGAGCCACAGAGAACTCAATGGTCGATGACCTGATTAGTGGTATTGCCTCAGTTAAAGTTGAAGAGCCACATGTGAATGGAGATTCCCCAGTGCCCATGGACACGACTCCCACACAGTCTGTAGACTTGTTGGGAACCATTAGTGATGTACATAGTGTAAATCATAACGGAGTAGATAATACGCCTGCACAGACCAGTCAAGGGTAAGTTTGTATCTTTACTGAGTGTGCAATTTATCTGCTTCATTATTTAATGTATTGTCTAACCTCTCAGAAAAGGGAT